CCGCTCTATCTCTTTTTTCCATACCCCGGGCGTCCCGGACGCCTGCAGCTTGCTTCGCCCTTCACTTACACCTTCCCGGTGAGGCTCCCCCTCACCTCGTCATCGGGCGGGGATGTGGCCGCAGCCATTTTTGGGCTCCCCCCACCATATGCGGCGACCGCAGATTCTCCAGTCCGGCTCGGAAGTTTCAGCACCCGCCCTATAAGACGACACCCGGCGTATAAGACGACCCCCGACTTTTGAGAAGATTTTCCTGGGTTAAAAAGTAGTCTTATACGCCAGAAAATACAGTACATGTTTTGTCAGGTTTCTTCTTTGTGAAATTGTCAATTTATATTTTCTTAACATGATTAGAACCTGAGACATACCATAATGTGTGTTCGTTCTCATGCTAGGGTTCCTTGCAGTTCACCATTTGTTGTTCATATTCCAAGACTGCACAGAAGTAAACTTGTTTTTCCTCAATGTCAAAAAAAATTAATAGTTTAACAGACAGTAAATATAATTCTACATATCTTTTGGCTCATGTGTTTAAAGATGAAATTCCTAGTCAAAGGACTAAATTTTTCAGGTTTTCTAAGGGTTCGAAGAAGCAAAAAGCATCAAATCGAGAAGAAAATGGCAAAAGGAGATGACTCCATAGCACTTTCTGTATCAACTGAAATCTGCTGGTATGGATGAGTATGTCCAGTGGGATGAGTCTCTCCACATCATTCAACCTCAAAGACAAGGGGATTCCTAATATAGGTCAACACTGAACCTGAAGTTAATTTAAGCCAGTTCTGTATCAGCATGGAGCCACCAAAACAAGAGGAGATTTTAGGGGCAGCCACCAACAGGGGACCCATGGAAGCATTTCTTCTGCTCCCGTGTGGGCAGGGAAGATGTTCAGAGGGGATAAAAATACACAGATCTGGCCCTCAGAACATGAGATCCACAATTTAGGAAGCAAAATCCTGTTTGGTTCTGCAGTGCGGAGGAGGAAGGAGACAGAGGCAAATCACACCCCATGAAAACAATCAGGATGACTCCATAAATCCAAATTAGCTGAGTTTTTCACCACTTACATAGGAATAACTAACACTGGGCATGCTTTAGCCCTTGTAAGCAACACAATGCAGAATACACAACACAGTTAAGCTACTGTATAAGAATTCTGAGACCTTAAAAAGCATCCACTTGAATTGTACTGGGTTTATCTCCTAAGCCATAACATGTTATAGACAGACCTGATAAAATGAAATTTGAAATTTACCATGGACACTTCTCTATCACAATTTCAGCCAGTAGTTCTGATCTTGTATATATATCATGGCTCACTTGGGATAAGGCAAACAGCTACAGATAAAATTAAAATCATCCACAACTTTTACTCAAAACTTGAAGATAATCAGAAATTCTTTCAGCACTACTACACACAATTCCCCCCACCAAACAAAATAAACCCCACTTAATTATGGGGGAAAGGCAGTTTGTTTATTTTTCTCATTTTTCTGCACAACTATGTTTTATATAGACAGAGAACCAAAGCATTACAAGTGAAACTATTTTCTGTTATGGCAGCTACCAAAGAACATTGGAAACGTCACAAAATCTCCAGTTCAAAGAGATTTGAAAAAGCAGGTGGAACAAACCCCCAATTGATTATGCAGCAATAAGCCCCTGTCAACAAAACATGTGCAATATCCATTCTCTTGATATTTAAAAGCAAGCAAAAGACAGGCTATGTTTTTCTCTTATCCCCAATTTACCATTCCCTTCCAGACTGGAACAAGCTGTTCTGTTATTTATTTGGATTTAAAGAAAAATAATCAGACATATTTGCATTGGTATTTTTCCTACCTCCCCCCCCCCAAACATTTTTGGCAAACTTACTCTGTCTGGATTTGTGAAAGGATTATATTCACTGCTTCAATAAGCAAACAATACTAAAGATAAATAGATTGAGAAGTGATTTTGCAGTTACTAGTTGCTTTTAGCATGTTACTAATCACATTTACATTATGGAAACAACTAGAAATAAAACCATTGAACTTAGCATGTGAAATTATTTTTTTCCAGCAATAGTGTCCTAGTTTGTCCCTTTATAATAATATTATAGAAGATCTCTCTTCAAAAAACAGAAAAATATTTTATCCCATGGTGGGGGGAGGGAGATATTAAAAATCTCTCAAAAGAGTGCTCAGTGGAAGGGATTCTGCAATACAAAACTGCACATTTAACAACAGAAAGCAAACAATTTTCAATAACTTTTAAGTCTTGACAAGTGTATGATAGCCCTTTTGAGACGTGAAACATAAATCCAATCCTTAATTTCCCCCCCATCTATTACATACACACACACTATGGATTGTACTGCTGGGTTGTTCTGGAATACTGACATTGCTGTGTTTATGTTTAAAGCATTCTTTACTACAGAAAAAGAAGATAACATAGACTTGGTAAATAGCTACTAGAAAAACAAAAAATCTTGTACCTACAAACAGCAGCAGCACCATTTAAGCCAGTGGCTCTCAACCTGTCCAGAGTACTCTACTCCTTTCAGGAGTCTGATTGTCTTGTGTACCACCCCAAGTTTCACCTCACTTAAAAACTACTTACTTACAAAATCAGACATAAAAATACAAAAGTTTCACAACACACTATTACTGAAAAATTGCTTACTTTCTCATTTTGTCCGTATGAAATTTTAGTTTGTACTGACTTTGCTAGTGCTTTTTATGTAGCCTGTTGTAAAACTAGGCAAATATCTAGATGAGTTGATGTATCCCCTGGAAGACTTCTGTGTACCCTGGTTGAGAACCACTGATTTAAGCTGTACAGAAAGAATAGTTAGTTATATGTGAAGATCTGCACAGCATATTGAAACATTTATACCTTCTTTAGGAAAAAAATAGTACTTACATTATCTTCCTCTTGCATGTCGTCATCATCATCATCACTGTCCTTATACCCTGGTGGAAGTGGTGGCCCAATAAATTCATCATCATCATCATCAGTATCCTCTGCTGGTCCTTGAATGGAAGTTTGGTGTGGCAAAGGAGGACCAATTAATTCTTCATTTGAACCATCTTCACTTTCACTACTTTCTGCCTCTCTGTATGGAAGAATTGTAAAAATGGTTATTTAAGTAACATGCAGCATTTCTATAGTGGTTTTCAGAAGGACTCAGCATTGGCCTAACTTTGCTCTCATTGAAGTCAATGGCAAAACTTCTACTGACTTCAATGGGAGCAGAAACAGGTCCACCACAATCGTCAAAGCAATTAAAAAAACTAATAGATACTGTAGTGACAGGCACAGTGCAAGAACCTAGGGAGAACAGAATACCGTTGTGAAGTAGATAGATAGGAGGTATGGTGAAATCTGTGCTAAAGCAGCCAACCAAGGGATCACTACACAGGAGAATAGAAAAAGTTAGGTTTTGTTTTAATTAATGGTGGTATATTAATATGCTTTCAATGTCCACAGTCACAGCAGTACTTAATTATATATCACTTTAGGGTCTGATTCTCCAGTGCCTTGCACCTTGTGCAGGCATTTTACACCCGTGTAAAGCAGGAGTTAAATCAAAATGGCAATGTTTCAGACTCACTGTGCACAGGTGTAAAGTGACTACACAAGGGAGAAAGCAATAGAGAATAAGGCAGAGAACATGCAAAATACAGTATAAGCTTTACAACCCTTAAAACTTAAACAGAGGAGATCCTGCACTTTAGACCAAATATTTAATCTCCACTGTCATCTCCTAGTATAGCCTCTGGTGTAAAGCTCATGTGCTATTACCGTTTCACACAGGGAATATCTATTGAAGTCCACAGGAATTGTGCATACACACATCATTTAATCACTAACATTTTTGAAAAGTAAAACTGCACCACAATTACTGGTCACATAGAAGCGACTAAAAATAAATGCTCTTGTGCTCCCTCTGCTGGCTCTACAAAAGCAGTTAGCCACTTCACAGTTGTGCTAACAGCAGTTGTTATACCATTGCCAAAACAATAAAATAAGTTAAGTATTGCGCATAAAAAATTGTGTTAATTGTAAAATTAATGCTCCCAATACAGATAAAGTGCTTTTTAAAAAAAAAAAATCAGAAGTCCCTATCAAGTTCAAGGTCCTACTGTATGTTCGGTAATATACAAACACATCAGAAGAGACAGTCCCTGCCCTAGAAAGCTTATAATTTAACAGGTCTGTTTTGAACAAAAACTGTGAGCAGAATGCAATAAATACAAATATTTTAACTAGGGCTGTCGATTAATCGCAGTTAACTCACGTGATTAACTCTAAACATTAGTCGTGATTAATCACAATTTTAATTGCACTGTTAAACAATAAAATACCAATTGAAATTTATTAAATATTTTGGATATTTTTCTACATTTTCAAATATATTGATTTCAATTACAACACAGTATACAAAGCAGACAATGTTCACTTTATATTATTTTTTATTACAAATATTTGCACTGTAAAAATGGCAAACACAAGAAATAGTATTTTTCAATTCACCTCAAATACTGTAGTGCAATCTCTTTATCGTGAAAGCGCAACTTACAAATGTAGATTTTTTTTGTTACATAACTGCACTCAGAAACAAAACAATGTAAAACTTTAGAACCTACAAGTTCACTCAGTCCTACTTCTTGTTCAGCCAATTGCTAAGACAAACAAGTTTGTTTACATTTACAGGATATAATGCTGCCCGCTTCTTGTTTACAATGTCACCTGAAAAGTGAGAACAGGCATTCGCATGGCATTTTTGTAGCCAGCATTGCAAGGTCTTTATGTGTCAGATATGCTAAACATTCATATGCCCCTTCATGCTTCGGCCACCATTCTAGAGGACATCCTTCCATGCTGATGATGCTCATTAAAAAAATAATGCATTAATTAAATTTGTGACTAAACTCCTTGGGGGAGAATTGTATGTCTCCTACTCTGTTTTACCCACATTCTGCCATATATTTCATGTTATAGCAGTCTCCGATGATGATCCAGGACATGTTGTTCATTTTAAGAACACTTTCACGGCAGATTTGACAAAACACAAAGAAGATACCAATGTGAGATTTCTAAAGATAGCTACATCATTCGACCCAAGATTTAAGAATCTGAAGTGCCTTTCAAAATCTGAGAGGGACGAGGTGTAGAGCATGCTTTCAGAAGTCTTAAAAGAGCAACACTCTGATGTAGAAACTACAGAACCCAAACCACCAAAAAAGAAAATCAACCTTCTGCTGGTGGCAGCTGACTCCAATGATGAAAATGAACATGAGTCGGTCCGCACTGCTTTGGATGGTTATCAAGCAGAACCCATTATCAGCATGTCCTCTTGAATGGTGGCTGAAGCATGAATGGTGGCTGAAGCATGAAGGGACATATGAATCTTTATTGCATCTGGCACATAAATATCTTGCAACGCCGGCTACAACAGTGCCATGCAAACGCCTGTTTTAACTTTCAGGTGATATTGTAAAAAAGAAGTGGGCAGCATTATCTCCTGTAAATGTAAACAAACTTGTTTGTCTTAGTGACTGGCCAAACAAGAAGCAGGACTGAGTGGACTTATAGGCTCCAAAGTTTTATATTGTTTTATTTTTGAATGCAGTTATTTTTGTACATAATTCTATATTTGTAAGTTCAACTTTTGTGATAAAGAGAATTCACTACAGTACTTGTATTAGGTGAACTGAAAATACTACTCCTTTTGTTTCATTTTCACAGTGCAAATATTTTTAATCAAAAATAAATATTAAGTGAACACTGTACACTTTATATTCTGTGTTGTAAGCGAAATCAATATACCGTATTTGAAAATGTAGAAAACATCCAAAACTATTTAAATAGTTAACTATTATTGTTTAACAGTGTGATTAATCACGATTTATTTTTTTAATCGCGCAATTAGTTGCAATTCATTTTTTTAATCGCTTGACAGCCCTAATTTTAACAAGTAAACACAAATAAAAGACTATTCAATGTAGTTGGAAAGTTCAAGTCAGACTTTTAGAACAAGAATTGAACATATACAAGTTGTTTTAAAATAAGATTTAAGAAAGATGTTCCAATCTGCACTATTCTGAGTACAAATCTAAATTTCTCAACTCTTAGATGAATTCTCAGATCTCCAAAAACATCTTCCAGTTAAGAACTGCACACCAAGCAGGAAATACTACAACACAAGTATTTTGTGCATAGCCTGTCAAGTTTAGTTCTTTACACTGAACAAACACCATCCACCCAATAAAGGAGACACTGAATACTCAGACAGTAAAACAACGAGGGACATGCAAAGTGCTAGATGGTCAGGATATGTCTATCTAACAAGTATGACAATGTACCCTGTAATTATAGTCCAAAATTTCTATACAGCTGAACAAACCCATAATGTATTTATAATTGTCAGGCACTGACAACATGCTGAAATGCAACAAATCAGTGACATGGTCTGTGACTCAAAAAATATATAACCGTAATTGTGTGCTTGCTTCACATTTACAATTCCTCCAACATAGAATCAGAATACATTGTAGATCCCTATTTTCAAAATGTTGAAAGAGAGTAAAGAGGAGATCCTGCAAGCCTAGGAGAGATGGAAGGAATAAAATCTTCTGTTGCCCCTTTACTCCAAAAAGATGAGGGGGGTGCGGGGAGGAAAAAGAATAGAGAGCTGTAATAAAATGCTGGAGTCTCTCTGCCCTTCCATGTCTCCACCCCCCTCTATTATGTTTTAGTGTAAATTTACAATCTACTGGTTTTTGCTTTCTAGATGTTAGCAGGTGTAACCCCTTATAACAATCATAATTCTTAATACATGCATATGAATATACCAATAGCTTAACTATTAGAACCTTCTCCTCATAGCTAATTTAGGAATCAACATAGTGTAGCTGTCTCGTTTTTCTCTCTCTCGTATATATATATTTTCCACACACTCCTGAGGGCTTCTTTGTGCCAAAATATTAAAAATTATGTGCACAATATTTGAAAATTGTGCAAATTTTATTTGTCATATAAATGTGGAGGTTCCAGCATGGCATTGGGGAGCACAGGCCACTGGCTGCACAGAGGTGGGAAATTACTGTGCAGCTCCCCCCTAGGACATGGACTCAGCGATGAGGCTGCACCCAACCCTGACACAGCACAAGGACAGGGCCCTACCCCTCCGGGCCAGGTGCACCAGGTGTGGGCAGGCAGGCTAAGGAAGGCAGCATCCAAGTGCGGAGGGGTTTAGTGTGGGGGGATCCAGGTGTGGGTTGAGAGGGTTCTGTGTGGGGCAATCTGAGTGTGGGCGGTTCAGTGGGGGATCTGGGTGCAGGAAGGATCTGGATGAACAGGGGCTAGTTTGTAGGATTCTGGGTGCAATGGTAATGGGACTCTGCAGGGGGGTGAAGGTAGTTGGGGCTCAGCCTGGGGGGTCAGAGTGTGTGAGAGGAGGTATAGCTCGGCACAGAGTCTTGGTGTGGGGGGGTTCCAGATGCTGGGGGAGTGGGGCAGGAATCCAAGTGCAGCTGTTTGGGGCTCAGTAGGGTGGGAATCCAGGTGCGGGTGGCTCGTTGGGGTGGTCCAGGTGCAGGGGGAGTGGGGCTCGTTGGGGGGTTCTTGGTGCGAGGGGGGGTGAGGCTCAGCAGGAGGGTCTGGGGGTCTGTATGCATGGGGGTTTGGTGGATGGGGGAGCAGCTCCTGGTACAGTAATCCCTCCCCCTGCAGCTGAGAAGCAATGGGTGCAGGAAGCTTGGGGGGGGAAGAGGGGAGTATGTAGAGCTTCCTACAGCCACGGGAGAAATCATGGGGTGGGTGTGGCAGCCTCAGATGCTGTGAAAGGGAAGAGGAAGTCCGGTCCCCAGTCCAGGCGAGGCTAGCAGCTGAGCCTACCGCAGGGTAGGAGCCACCAGCTGAGTCTTCCCCATTCCTGCCCCATAGTGATTTACCTCTCTGCCAGCTGCCCGGGGCATGCAAAACATACTGCTGGGGGCGGTCTCATGACCACTCTTGTGGCTTCCCTTTGCTTCCCCGTCAGAAAGTCATTTTTCTGCAGGGAAGCAAAGAAATCTGTGGGGGATATAAATTCTGCACATGCGTAGTGGCGCATAATTCCCCCAGGAGTAATATTTTGTGTGTGTGTGTATTATATAGATATAAAACTGTCAAGAACTTCTTAGGTTAATTTTAGTATGGGGTGTGGCTAGATTACTCAATGTACTTGAAATACAAAGACTAAATATTGAGGAGAAAAGTTATCATCTGATGGCTAGCAGAACCAATTGGTTACCTTGGATCAGTTCCCTAATGACAAGCATCACAAAGACTGCTATATTTGGTGCAATGTTGGTAGTCTCAGTAGAGAGGACAAAGGTCTAAATTATGGGCCTTAACTAGCCTCTTATTATTATGTATTGTACCTCCAGATTAACACTGGGCACAGTGACACATTCTCTTCCCAGCTTCCTGTCTCTTTCAGCATCAAGTTCAAATCCTTTAGCATAACTTTCAAGGTAATGTGTAACTCTGGAATCTGACTACAGATCAGACTTTTTCTATCAGATTCTCATCTCATGCCCCCTGGCAATCCCAGAGCCCCAATAACATCAATGGAACTCCCCCTAGTTACAATGGTCCACCTGCATGAATCAGATTACTGAATAGGGTCCCTTGCCTTCTCCCACTTTCCAACCTGCATAGCCAATCTATTCTTCCTCAAATCCCTTATCCAAAAGAAATGTGTTCTGAGAATTTTCTATTATTCTGCCTCCTCTTATATCCTACTTTACTCCTTATATTTAAGCCTCCCCCTCACACACAATGTGCAAGTCTCAGACCTAATATCAATCACAGCAAGTTTAATTGTAACCCTCAGCCTTCCATTAACAAGATATCAATACTGAAGATTAGCATTTTAGTATGGTAAGAGTGTAGAGAAAATATATTTTTTTCAGTTTACTTTGTGCATTTGACAGCACTTTGTGTATAGTCAGTTACTTAAATCACTGGCCACAGTTCATGTGAAGTTTTCCACATAGCAACAGGAGAGAAATAATAGAAATTGTGAGCACTATAAGGCAACTAGTACAAAACTATGTAGTTTTATAATTATATGTAGCATGCATGTAGAGGCTACATACATATATTGATTTGTTTTCCAGTCTATATGGACAAATGTGTTTTATCCAATTTTAGGTGGCAACAGAAGCTGTTTGTTCCTTGATTTGACATAGTTATGATTGTTTATTACTTTGACCCGCTGTCCATGACTTTTACTTGACTTCATTTTTTTTTACGTACAAAAAAATTGGCAGAATCTAATGTATAAAAAAGAAAACAAGTGCACAAAGCCTTAACAGTGAGAAGATGGCAACCAAAATAGCACACAGCCCTTCAATGTGTTTATAAGCCATAAAACTATTGTAAATTGACAGACCATATTAAGAAAGCGTAGATTAATAATTGCAAATTACAGTGAAACAAATGTCAGTTTACATAGTTTTGTGGACACAAGTTCAGTGGTCCCTGTCCTCCTCTCAAAAAAGTTCAGACAGTCCTTGAGACAAAACAGTTGTAAGATGGTATGATGCTTCCACTATATCTAGGTACCTGCAAGTTAATGCGGAGCAAGCTCCCATCACACTTGAGCCTGAAGCTGCTGAATCAACATCTTCATGTTGGCTTCTTAGTTCTTTTTCTTTCTGGGCTTCCTCTTCTCTTGCACGGGCTTCTAAATATGGAGTGAACATGCAACTGTTAGATCTCCATGTTTTCAGCATGTAAATTAATGAAAACCTGGTTCTTCTTTTTGAGACAGTATTACTAAATTCTTAATTTTCAGACATATATTCCAGAAGTATGAAGAGATGAAAGTAGAGCATTTTAATTTAAACTGATTGGTTAACTTACCCACACAATAAATATGCTAATTTCCTTTACATTTCTGTCATTTTGATACCGAAATGCTTACCCAAAGAAATAAACCTCTCGGGAAAAGGCAAGCTTAAGATGCTAAAACTGTTAGCTTATACAGAATAAATATATGTTTTATAGCGTATACCACTGTTTCACATTTGAACATTTTCAATGTCAACGAGGTATGATTAGTCAATACTGATCTTTAATTTTTTCTGGAACAGGGTATTGGAAATTAAATCAGTTTAAACAAGTCTAGTACACATGGGTGTCATTAAGTTTGTTACAGCCCTCACTAGTTACTTCCATTTTCCTCACTATAGAGGAGTCCCTATAGAACCATCTGTCACACTGTCTGGAGTTTCAGAGTAGCAGCCGTGTTAGTCTGTATCCGCAAAAAGAACAGAAGTACTTGTGGCACCTTAGAGACTAAAAAATTTATTTGAGCATAAGCTTTCATGGGCTACAGCCTACTTCATCGGATGCATGTAGTGGAAAATACAGTAGGAAGATATATATA